GGCTACAGACCGAGGGTGTTTCTTATTTATTAATTTAAAAACAAAAGGATTGTAATATCTTATAAACAACATATAGTTTCAGTTATATTATGGATAAATTTGGCCTAAAATGAACATCGTTCGGTTACATAGCATTTAGGTATAAATATAATTTCACCTTTGTGATTAGCCCTACGTCTGTAACGTGCAAAATATATTGGGAAATGCGCAACTTTTTCAGTGGCAGCACGGTCGCGGGTATCAATGGCGCCGTTCAAATTTCGTAGCGTTGATGTATAATTAATTATAACAATTAAAGTAGGTATCTGGTAACAAGTACGTGTGGGTATAGACGATTTGTTATACAGTAAGTACAGTTGTATGCAGTAAAATCCTAGAGTCTAGTATCTCTTTAATGACGAGGAATTGTCAATGATTCGAAATTTTCCTGTTGGAGAATTGTAAACATCACGTTTAACCTGGTGCTCGCTGCCAGCCAACTGTAGTTACCGTTCCCATCGCCGTCACGCTACTCTTTCCAGGGTTCGTAGCGGGTCTTCCAAAATCTTATAAGTACTTATTTTGCCAAAAATAAAATAAGGGCCCTTATTAGTACTTATTTTTGGTGAAATCTTAAAAAAGTACTTAATAGTCCTTATTTTTTGCCAAAGGACCATTTTTCAACATTTTCTGTGTTGAATTTCGGCAAAATCTGCTGTGCAATTGTGTATATAAATATTATTAGTGTACTTTAATACTAATAGTCGGTGATCTATCAGAAATCGTGTAAAAAGGTCTTATTTTGGCCTCCAGAAAGGGTCTTATAAGACCTTATTTCAACATGTGTCTTACTACTATGAACCCTGTCTTACACTGTTTGCTTGTGTCAGCAGTGTGGCGACGCGGTCCTGACTGCACTGCTGGACACGTACGCTCGCATGCGACGACTCGACAAGTTCACACTGAAGCTGCTGGCGGCCGTCCGCGGCAACGCCCGCCAGGGGGCGTGGCGCTTCCCGCGCACATTCATGGGAAGGTACGTACGCATGCAGCGAGGGCAATCCTGTTACGTGGAGCGATCCTGTTATGGGAAGCGGTCCTGTTACAGGGAGCGATCCTGTTACGTGGAGCGATCCTGTTACGGGGAGCGATCCTGTTACAGGGAGCGATCCTGTTACGGGGAGCGATCCTGTTACAGGGAGCGATCCTGTTACAGGGAGCGATCCTGTTACATGGAGCGATCCTGTTGCATGGAGCGATCCTGTTGCATGGAGCGATCCTGTTACAGGGAGCGATCCTGTTACGGGGAGCGATCCTGTTACGTGGAGCGATCCTGTTACGGGGAGCGATCCTGTTACAGGGAGCGATCCTGTTACGGGGAGCGATCCTGTTACAGGGAGCGATCCTGTTACGGGGAGCGATCCTGTTACAGGGAGCGATCCTGTTACGTGGAGCGATCCTGTTACGGGGAGCGATCCTGTTACGTGGAGCGATCCTGTTACAGGGAGCGATCATGTTACGGGGAGCGATCCTGTTACGTGGAGCGATCCTGTTAC